CCCAAAAGGTACCCATAATTTAGGGAATCCCCCAAATGCTCCTAACACAATCCCCTCACGGAGACCCCCTTAAAATTGTATACAACTCCTTGGGTCCCTCGGATATTCTAAGCCCTAAGTCATAAACCGCATAATCCTATTTTGAGAAGCTCTCATATTCTAATCTACGAATCATGCGGCCCCCACTGATACCCAAACCCCTCAGAGCCCTTAACCCTAATCCTTGGGGTTTTCGGGTTTAGGGTTTTTTCTAAGCCCCAAACATTGGGTACTGCCCCCACTCTGCAACATTTGGGTCTTGGGTACTATTAATAAAATAGTTATGTAACCCAAAATATGACGCCTAATATAGACTGTTACAAGGTGGGGGCAGGACCCAATCCTAAACCCTCATCCCTGCCCGAAACACCTGCATCTCGACATCCGTCACACCTGTAGACTTTTTTCTATTCCAAAGCCTGCAAGCATTGCTTGGTAGCTGTTGAGGAACTTGTTACCCCATTATCCCTATACCCTAAACCCCCGCATTATACTGTTATAGTTACCCTATCACAGCAATCCAGATTAGGGTGCGCGTTTCGTCGCCAAAAGCCGCCCATCCTTCTGAAAATTGGATTCAGCCAGTCTTTAGGGTCAGATGCTCAACAAGAGACCACTTACCCTCCAAATCCAAGCTCCGAAGCCTAACCTCAAAATCAGAATTCAGTCCCAGAAGCGCGCGGCAGATTGTTCGTATGATCCGCATTCAACCGTCTTTGACATCAGCGTAGGCATGCGTAGGCCTCCTAATTCAAGTAACTCATAAACCTCGAACCCTGCAATGCATGTCTTGTGCCCTGAAGCCCAACGGGAAGGCCAAGGAGACAATATTAGGGCAGGTCCCTTCCCCCTGCATGCCCCCTTTCCTCTGCCTTACGATCTTCAGTCTTTTCTAGGGATCCAGAGGCCTCCCATTACAGCAGGGCTTTCATCATCACTCCTACATGTCCCTCATCTGTCCTCTGCCTATCTACTGGGTGGTTTCAGGGGTACTGCTGGCCTGTGACACGCCTGCACAACATGAAGGCCTTGCAATCCTTACTACTACTGTATAGTATATATCCGACTAAACTGTAGTAGTTTCCCCTTTTTTGTCCATTCTCCCTATATAAACCCTACATATCTCTAGACCCTACATAAGCCTACTCGAAGGGTCCGAAGGCTCTCCTATCACTCCCATCCAGGTGTTGAGCTGTCCGGAGGTGACTGAGGCGGGAAGCCTAAAGCTTATAGTCCCCCTTAAGTAGATAGAATATGGCTTTGGGTATGTTATAATAAGATCCCCATATACCCCATATTCTATCTACTTAAGGGGGACTATAGGGTTGAGGGTTTCTCATCCGCGTAGGGATTCAGGATTTGGGGTCTAGGGTTTTGGGTATTTAGGATTTCGGGCACAGCGTTTCAGGGTTTGTTACATATAACAGAACTATATCACCATCATCTGCTCCAAAATTCCCTGGGAAATCCGTAAGTCCGGGGGCTTACGTCCCGTTAACGCCTGTAGGACAAATCAATTTGGCATCTGATCTGGCCTAACCCGAGGGTTCTTCAAGGCCTTAAGCTCTCTAAAGGCTAATTGGGTTTCTGTTAGGGGCTGTAAATTAGATTACCATATGATGGGTACATGCAAATAATAGGGTTTCCTTGTCGTAGTTACTTAGTTCAAGTTTCTTAACAGCAGCTAAGTAAACCCTGAAATCTAGAACTGGTCAGGTACGCTTCGCCACACTTCCTTGTGCCCAGCCGGACAACATCACGGTGGGCCGAGGGCAAAAGCGGGAACAGACTCAGTTTCGTTCATTGAGAACTTTGAGGATTTCATGTTTTTAGAAGGTTTGGGGCTGAAAGTTCAGCGTAATGGTGTTTCAGGACTGAGGGGTCACAAAAAACGGAGGGCGCACAAGTTGGCATAGTATTCTATCGTCAAGCTATGGGACTGAGGTATCTTTCAAGCAGATGGTATCTGGACAAGGCAGCCCATATTGAACTATGGATTTCTGGGTTGCATAGTTGGGTGGCAGGTCTCATGGCAGTTTGTCGAAGTACACCGTACATCTGCCTGGTGAAGGATCCTGACAATGCCATCATCCACAAGCTACGTTGAGAAACCGTCGTGTCTGACTTCCCAAAACGGAGCCCTCCCTCAACAGTATTATCATCCTGGGAACCCTCAAAAAAGGGCCCTTGGAAACCCTCATATCACCTGCACCCGAAGCCTTACAAGCTCTAACAACCCTGGGCTAACACCATCAGAGTAGTATTTTATTTGGGGGTACTATGGTACCCAATATAGAGTAAGATTATATCCTCCTTTTGGGGTATAGTATTCTTATACAAGGAATATAATCCTAAACCCTAAAACCCTAAAACCCTAAACCCTAAACCCTAATGTAAGGAATATAATCTTACTGGGTTTAACCACCCAAAAAAGCGCTACTCATCAGGAGGAGGAGGTCAAGGTGCAGAAGATCATCCTTGATGATCCTGCAACTCGGCAGCTTTTAGAGCGGCTTAGGCTGTTGGGCTAACTGGGTTTAGGGTTTAGGGTTTACGGGTTTAAGGTTTAGGGGTTTGGGGTTTAGAATTTCGGGCTTTAGGGGTTAGGGGTTTGGGTTTTAGGGTTTTAGGGTTTAGGTTTAGAGTGTAGTTCTCAGGGTTTAGGGTTGAGGACTTCAAATATTACCGTCCCCCAAGCCCCCCAGAAAGGACACTGTAAAGAGGACTGCTCTTTTGAACTGGATCTGTGTGGGGCTTGACGGTCAATTTGGGGGAGGCTAGGGTCTACAAGGTAAGTAGGGGCCCCTTTGATGGTGCTTTTGCTTTCGCCAGTGCTTGTGACATCGTGAGGACCATACATACATTCATTGGTTGTGCTGAATTTCGGAGGCAGGAGTGTGGAGAAGCCTGCGGCTTAATTTATTCAATTTGGAGGCTTGCGAGTGAGGCTCTCAGACCACTTTGCAGAATGCCCTACAAAGGTATAGCCTGGGAGTGCAAGATAATATTGGTGACGACCTGAGGCGGTCAAGCGGATGGATGCGCAGTTGCCATCTCACCCCCAAAGCTGAAATGCATACAAAACGTCCACAAAGCCTCGAACCTCCTCTGCCCCAAATCCCTCAAGTCCCCATATCCCAAGCTCTACACCACTCCTATGCGCATGAGCTCCTACCAAGTCCTACCGTGCATGCAAAATCATCGTGATGTCTCTACAGAAATAGCATAAATATCCAGACTTACATTCCATGGAGCGAAAAGTTTTCAGTGATAAGTCCATTTGGGTATTTTGGGCCCTGCCATTTGCCCCAAAGCAGTAAGACAGCTCAGGCGACGCCGCAAGCGGCAGACTTCTGGCTCCATCCTTGTGAGTGCCTTGCATATCATCGTACTGATGCTCAGGGAGGGAGTGCCGGAGTGGGTCCCCATAACAATCTCTATAGATAACCCTTTTCAAAGCTGCCTGAATATTGCTTACCCCATTAAGCACCACTTAAAAAAAACAGGTTGTATTGCAGGCTTAGCGTAAAGGAATCCAAAGCAAGTGAGAAGGGCTTGGGGTCCAAGATATTCATCCCGTGTGCACCCTTCGCCTCAAAAGAACAGCAGTGTTCCAGCTCTGCAACAGGGGTTGGTTTGGACGATCTGTTTTGGTTCCCTCAGGGCTTTGCGTGGGAGCGTGGCGCTAAAGGTGTGGTGTTTCGAGTGGGGTTAGTTTTGAGTTGTTGGTTCAGGTCAGGGGGTTGAAGGCTCAGAAGGCAGATGCGCACAAAGAAATGACATGTTCTCATACTCAACAGTCAGTACACTCAACTGCCGGCACCCGTATTATACTCGGCATTGACACTACTCACAACTCTCCGGCGATCCCTCGGGGTACCCAGCAATTTATGAGTTCGGGCAGTCAGGAGACGTCTACTCAGAGCATCTAGACCACTAGAGAATGCGAAATTGCGGCCCCTCCCCCCTAGCGTGAAATCCAAAGTTCCATAGTCCAATCTAACGTAGACTCATGATTAAGAAGCCCTCTCCTTTTTCGGGCATGATAATCCCTATTAAATGCTCATGACATTATAGTAGTTTCCATTTTCTTTTCCATTATCCCTATATCCCTAAACCCTAAACCCTCTACATTATGTTGTAGCTACCTTGTGACACCTCTCCGGACCAAGCCCTTGGAATTCCAAACTTTGAGATTCCACTTACTTTATCAGCAAACCTATAGGGGCTATATAGGAGCTATATGGGGTTATGTGGGGACATATATATATATATACAGTATATACATTTATATAGTACCCCAATATGGAGAATCAGTTGGAAAAGAACATGCAAAATGAAATGGACAACGGTGGTATATACTTACTTACCTCTGGCTAGCAGGGAATGAAGGAATGGAAAAGAACATGGAGATTATTACTGAGGGTTACACAGGGACTACTATAAAGATCCTTTCTTTCATTCCTTGCTAACAAGAGGTACCGTAAGCCCTGCACCCAAAGCCCCTAAGCCTCAGCCGTTGCCCTCCGTTGGTGTTCGCAGGTGTGCGCCCTCAGCTTGGGGTCCCGACGCCCCGGTTGACCCAGTGACCTTCGAGCCTTGTACTGCTCTATTTCAAAGTGAGAACTTTCCTGAAACAAGTACATTACATTCTTAGTCTGGAGTATCAAATCACTGCACTTCTGACATGTCGTATTTGGGGGTTGCATGCACAAAATCCAACTGTCGAAAACGACCTCAAACTGGGATAGCATATTGTACTTCAAACTACGAGGTGCCCTATTGTTGTTGTTATCCAAAATTGGTCCAGAATTGGGACCAGAATTTAGAGAGCAACCACATAATTAGCACAATCTGGGCCTTGTTCTTTGGACCGCAGAAGCTAGATGCCATCTCGAAACAGATGGCGCCCATGAGCACGTTCCTTTGAAACGCTACGCCCGAGATGCCTACCTCTCAAGGAGATGACAGCGGACGCGGAAACTACCACCTACGTGCCACCTCCGCTGATGCTGGTGTCTGGAGAGTTCGTGCCTGATCCCCTTTGGGTAATGCTTTGGGACTTGACAATTTTTTGGAAGGGGAGCCCTGAATTCCTCAAGGGTGCCCATGTTGAGAACACCTCCCTCAATTTCTATTGTTTTGGCTGCCCTACAAACTCGCTGCGCAGTTGGCTACCACTGTAGACTGGAAACTGACCGTAAAGTATTGAAAGAGCAGGGAGGGAGATCGGAATCCCCGATACCCGTTTTACGGACCCGTTTCGGCAGCCTAGCTTTCAGACATGGTAGTTTCCCAAAATAGGTGGACCCCAATATAGACCCAAACATACTGTAATCCTCCGAATGGGAACCCCCCCAAAAAGGTACCCCTGATTTGGAAACCTCCAGATATCCCCACTGCAAGAAGTTGTCAGGTCTGTCCCACACGCAATCTGCTCGACAATCCCGGCATCTACTTCGAGAGTGAGACCGAATCCATGGAGTATGAGGTGTGCGAGGCCTCATGTTGCTGGAGACCCCGGGAACAGCTTGAGATGTTTCGGAAGGCCATCTGAAACCTTGTGCCATGTAACTAGTTCTGACTTCTGAGTGAGAAAAAACGTGGTTTTTTTCAGCTCCCTATGCAGCATATGCAGTTGCAGAGGAGCGTGTGGACTGGCATGCTTCGTAATGAGATGCGAAGACCTTGAAGCTAGCTGTTTCCCTTATGAGGCCTCAACCTTCAAGCCCTTCATAATAAACTCTTCCCCATGGGCCTTAAACCCAAAGCCCAGTAGTGCTCTTCAGACATGCGCCGGTCAGGCAAAGTGCAAGAATCATGATGACTGCAACTTCTTCTGGCATGGCACGCAGTCGCAGCTTGACTGACCCCTCTGCGTGCCTGGGGTTTTCACAGCTTTGAGATTTACGCTCCAGCTTTGGGTGGGCTAGATACCTGTCACAACTAAGGTGGGCTCCTTTCCAAAATGGATCGCCCTAGGGATTTGGTGAATTCCGGGCTGGAAAGTGCGCAAGGGGTGGAGGCCGCTGCAATGTTTGTTTTTGGCATATCAGGGTGGCTGAGTACTTCTTTAAAGTGTCCCCTAGCCCGCGTATCTATAGAGTCCCAGGAGCATCCCCTCCTGATGGGAAACTTTCATGTGCATGGACCGTGTTCTTCATGAATCCAAAGTCCAATGCCAGAAGGCACACCCCTACTTTTGGGAAACCCAAAGCCCTAAACCTTCTATATCCCTATAGAACCCCCCATATCCCTTATATATCCCCCTAAACCCTAAACCCTAAACCCCCCTATATCCACCCTTTATGGCATGCCCCCTTTCCAGCCAAGGTCTGCTACCACATGCATCATGCCAGCACGGGTGAGGTGTGTCCTGTGCTTTAGGGGAACCCTCGTACTGATTTTCCATTTCCTTTTCCCTTATCCCCTATACATCCCCCATATCGTCCCTATATAACTACCCATCAGAGTAGTTTCCATTTTCTTCTCCATCCTTAGCTCCCTGTTGGACGTTAGGGTTTCGGGTTTAGGGGTTTAGGGTTGGGGGTTTAGGCTTCAGAGCTTTAGGGATTTTCGAGGGACCCACCACAAGCCACATTGTATGGAAAGTCTCTTTCCGAGGAGCAGGGATACCTACTCCACATCTTGTGGCGTTTTGTCAGGAATAGTATTTTGGGGTTCCCAATAATCCAATAATAAGGATCATAGTATCTTAGGGTCTATATCGGGTCCCCCTATTTGTGGAAAGTACCACATCTCGTATATGATCCTTCAGAGCCCGTTACACCCTTTCATGTACTTCCCACATCCCTACACCCTACCCTCAACCCTAAACCCTAAAGCCTTACCCGTGCTCCCCGCATCCCTAGGGTTGCTAGGCATACCCAAAGCCTCAGCATGAAACGGCCCGAACAGTTTCCCAACCAGCGTTTAGGGTTTGGGTTGGGGGTTTAAGGTTTTAAGGGTGTAGATTTTAGGGATCAGGGTTTAGGGAATTGTTCAGGCTGCCGACTTGTTGACACCTTTCCCACCAAGTCATACACCGTGTGATGAGAATCCTTGGTTTTCTTACAGAGTTTTGAGGCTTCAGACTAAGCAGGGTTTCCATACCTATAACATGGTCTACTTAATTTTGGCATATAGAGGGTGACCCTATGTTTAGAAATGCCAAACTGGAACTCGGACATTTGACCAAAATTAGGTTTCCTATTCTTCATTGTTCGGGAATCATCTCAGTTTGGTGTCAGCGAGGGCAGGGGCCCCAGCGTTCCAGAAGCCATATGTCCTGAAAACAAAAATCCGAGAAGGCTGACAAGCCAAATCTGAATCCCTCAAGCAATCTGCTAGTGACCCCAGCGCCCACCCAAACCTTGAAGATCCCAAAGCCTTCTTGGAGGTCCCTGCTTGTCTTAACTGGGGTAAGAAAAGAGGAAGCAGAGTTGTTAACAGTTATGTTATACCCAAAGTTAGTGTATTCAAAATCCCGTCATAGCCTAAGCTATAGATATCCAATGAACCTGAAAGTAAGCTAGAAGCTTTAGCCCGTCCCGGAGTGCTAAGACCTATAATTAGAAGTTATGGTAAACCGGTTTCTGCTAGGGATCAACACACGTAGAGCGAGATCCCAAAAGTAGATTGGGCACATATGTTAAATTATGCACGGCCATGGGGCCGCCGGAAAGCAACAAAACCGCCCAGCCCCCCCACCTCAGTTTTACATGTTTTATATATCGATATATATGTATATATACATATTTACTTATTCATACATATATATGTATGTTGTATATATATATAATATGTTATATGATATCATATTATGCTCTAAATTGTATATGTGTATGGATGTAGGGATGCCCATTACATAACCTCTATATACCCCCAGAAGCTCAGGCCGCCTGTTTTCCGCGTGCGACAGCCTGGTGCGTGAGATGGGGTTGGAGGGCGACCTCATGGCCATGCCTCGAACGCCAGGAGACATGGGCTATAGTCTAAAGGGGGTTATATAGGGGATTCTATAGGGGATTACTATAGGGGTGATTCAGGAGGATAGCAGGAGTTTAGACATGTTTAGGCTATGGCTCATATGATGGGGATAATCAAGGGACTATGTAGGGGTTATACAGGGTTCACGTAGGAATTATAGGGTTGTATGGGCCTGCAGGGATATTACCACAAGAGACAAGAATGTAATTGAAAGGAAATAGAAAGTGAAATGGAAACTGCCGGGTCCCTCTGCAGAAGTTACCTAGGATTTCATAGGGACTTTTTTAGCAATGAAGAATCAGATGGGCAACAGAATGGAAAATGAAATGGACACTGGGAATACGTAGGGTTATGGGCATTGTAATGGGTCATGGTTGAAGACAGCTCATGAGTGTTTAATTGTAAGCCAAGAGGGAGCCAGTTTTGTTTGGGAATCCTGCAGGGTTATGCAATCTGTACGGAGTAGACCGGCATTCCGTAGAAATTCTTCAGCGAGCCTAGCTGTTCCTCCGGATGTCTTGAATTCATTTCCTCTTGTTGAGTAGAGTGACCTTTTCTGAGATTTCCTTCCGAAAATACATTCCTAGGGTTTAGGCTTTAGGAGTGTTTTATCCAGAGACTGCCGAGAAGAGACTTGTTTTGTTGGTAGGGTCTCTAGAAGCTCTGCACGGGGTCTCCTGCAAATTTCACCAGCGTTTTGGTAGACCCCCCGCCCAGTAATCGTGACATAAGGGATAATGGTACTTATATTGGGGTCTTTACATTCCTATTATACTGCTATTACAGGTTGAGGGGTCCTCCTAAACCATAGTCTTCACAGGGCTGCTCTTGGGGGGTGCATTTTTGAAGGCCGTGCATTTTTTTGGCTTCCTTGTGCCGAATCATACTTGGGGGAGCAGATGGTTCAATGCACAAGAAGTCTAGATTGTAGAGAGATCAGCCAAGATAGGTCATTTGACGTGTAGCTCTTTTAGGTAGTGAAGTTCTTCAGGAGCCCTACAGAAATCGTAAACGATTGCTCTTGCGGTTTAGTATCCAAAGGGCTTGGTGGGAATGTCCTTTAAAGCCTCCGGCTGTGGGCTTACGGGACTGCGGGGCTTCCATGGATGGACTCCGAAGTGTCCAAACTTTGAAAGCCCCCCTTAAGTAGATACAATATGGCTTTGGGTATATTATAATAAGATCCCTATATACCCAATTTTCTTTCTACTTAAGGGGGACTATATCCGTACGAGAATCCTGATAGCCATCTTGCGCAAGCTCATCCTTAAAGTTCGGTACAGCAGTCTCTTGATCAAGGCTTAGGGGTTTTAGGATTTAGGGTTTAGGGCTTAGGGCTTAGGGCTTAGGGATTAGGGTTCAGGGTTTAGTAGGGTTTAGGGTTCGAGGATTTCCCGCAATCCCAAGGGGTGGGAATCATCTGGAGAAGTGCATGCCGCAATGCTTGGAAAGAATTTTCGCTTCCACGGACAGTTCAACCTATCATAGTAACCCATGCGAGGTAGACCTCCACAAGCCCTAAACCCTAATATAACCCCAATATTATAGCAGTTTCCGTTTTATTTTCCACTATCCCTCGGAAATATCTGTTCCTCAAGTTCCTGAAGTTGTACTTCTGGTCTTCAGTTCCAAAGCATCTCCAAAACTCTATAGTCCCCCTGTAGTAGATAGAATATGGGGGTTATATAGGGTTAATGGAAAAGAAAATGGAAATTACTTAAGGGGGACTATAAGCCCCAAAACGCCGAACTCCTAAGCCCAAAACACAAAGTAGCTTTCATATCTCTGCCAGGATGTGTCGTGGCCAACCCAATTGAGCGCCTTTGAGAGCTGAACCTTGTGACCTAGGGTTTATGGTAGTGGGCTTGAGGGTTTCAATCTGGCAATGGTTTAGGTCGAACCGTTTTGCGTAATGAGTTCGAGGACTGTAGGGTTACAGGTATGGTCCCGGCTTGAGTTAGAGCTGTCATTGTGTCGCAGAAGAGTTCGTGATGTCTCCATTACGATAATGGAAGCCAGACATTTGGACCGTGAGTATCCCCTTACCTGAAGTCCTGGAGAGCGGGAAGACTAACACCAAAGCCCTCCTATGCCCATGTTGCAAGCTTCCGGCTTTTATGTAGGGATGGCTACAGGCACTGCAGGGATTTCTTTGCAAGAAACGCCGCACGCGTGGATGAGTGGGAAAGCTGTCAAAGATCCAAGGCGTCACTTGGATAGTTGCTTGACACTAGGCTATCATGCTCACTTCTGATGAAGGTTCGTTGATATTGACACCGGCATATACGTGGCGGCTTTATACATCGACCTAGCCCATATGGTGCCATAGAGTCTTAGATTTGTCATCCTTCACGCATTTGTGCCACTCCGGCTTTTTGTTGTAATCTTTTGGTCTGGGGTGCACGTTTCGTTCTTGTGCTCAGGTGCTTCACCGTGTCCATGCGACGAAAGTACCTGACTACCGCAGCTTCACAAGCATGTAAGCCTTTGAAGGGGCCAACAGGATATCAGGCGTGTCAATGCCTGCTATTCGTACATCTGTTTCCTGCGACGAATTGTTGGAGTTGACAATTCCTGTAATTTCAGTCTCACAAGTGTTGAAGTATATAGGAGAGCCGGACAACCAAATAAGCCCCCGGATACCTTGCACAAGCTCCAGCTCAAAATGCTTGGGCAAGTTTTTAAGGCCTCCCGTACCGATCTGATGCACCAAGCAGCTTTTTATCCTTGGATTGAAGGTGTGAGGATCGCACTCAGGCTATGACACCATGCCGGATCGAGACCACAGCTAAAAGCAATTCTCAGAACTACGGCAGCAGCATTCTAGTAGAAGTTACACCATCTGAGGATGAAACCTCATGTATGATGATAATTTCAAGCTCCCGCCGACATTTTCCATCTTCAAAGGCGGTGCCAGGGCGCACAGAGCAATTGCATACCCGGCATTAGCAAGAATGCTCTAGGTATCTCTATAGCCCCCATCATCCCTACATAACCTGTATATAAGGCCTCTGCTATCCCCATCTCTCGTATGCAATCCAAAAAACCCCACACGACGTCCATTTCAGGGACCTAAGGCCCTAAGGGTCTCTCCCATCTTTGGAAGCTCCCAACTACGCCCCGGCACAGACTGTAGCTCTGGGCCACTTGATTAAAACAGCTCCCTAAACCCTAAACCGGTTTAGGGTTTACTGCCCAAAGATCTTCTTGAGAAGACTCCTTCAGCTTTGCATCTGTACTGCGTGGCGTCTACGGCAGTCTAGGTAATATAGGGATAATGGAAAATCAAATGGAAACTACTATAATGGGTTATATAGGGGTTTGATAGGGGTTAGGCATGTGCAATCCCAGCTCTCAAATTTGGGAAAAGCTCTACATGGAGGGTGTCCTTGAAACACGGGCACCCGATGAGCCTGGGGAACCCTCAGCAAGTAAATCCTAACTCTGTTTCTTGCTCCAAGGCAGCACCTGAGACCTTCCGCTATTGGAACCTTCATGCCCAGTGCGATGCTCGGCGCAAAGCAGCGCGTAGGCTCCTCCAACAGACTGCTATATCAGCATGGCTGGTCACAAAATCAGGGGTCATCCGAGCGAAGAGGCACCGTGGGTTTTGTGCCCCTGGACCAGCTCATGCTCCGCTTGAAGTTTGCAAGCTTTCGGACAAGCATCATGCGCAGCAGCATTGAGGGATGCTCATGCGCCTGTGTGACACTTGTTCAATAAGCCCTCAGGTTCGTATCATGTAGCCCTTCTCGGGATGTTCTTAGAAATGACTGCTGGATTCAGGTCGTACGCACATGCTGGTCGTTTTCTCACTCTTTGTGGCTCAGCGCCATGCCAACAGCTCACAATGTTGTCCATCCCAGTTTCCATATGATTTTCCATTTTCTTTTCCATGTGTGTGAATACCCATTACATGGGGTAGTGACCGCATGGAAACCCCACATAATCCAGAAATAAACTTACATAACCTTATTATTGTATGCTGAACCAATATTCTCTCACGGCATGTGAAGCCTGACCCGTTTCCGCAGCCAAGCCAAGTGCGCGTTTTTCGGCATCCAGATGACTAAGTCTCGAAATAGGGATGATCAGAAAATTCAGCTCACCAACAGTCCCTGTGTTAATTCCAAACTTCCCCGGAAGCGCCATCAGCCATACATAATATGAGCTATAGTCTGAACTCTCTGCAGAGGGTTATATAGGGGATTATATAGGGGACTGCTATAAAGCCTATAAGGGGGGGATACTAGGAGTCTAGATTATGGCTCACATAGCGGGTACATATAAACACAGACACTGCTAGCAGTGCTTACATTCGCCCTCCTACTCTCCCTTTAACTGGGTTGCGATTTAGGAACTTATTTTAAGTTACTATACTGAGGAAACCCTTTTATTTACAATATAGAGGAAACCCTGTTATTTACCATATATAGCCTTTATGGTAGCTTAGTTGAAGTTCTTTAACAGCAACTTGGCTGCCCTGTGAGCCCAGGACATGATGCTGCTGCTGGGTGGATCCGGCATCAATGCTTGCGGAAGGTCCGGGATCCTAAGCCCGAAGCCCTAAACCCATTGGGTTTAGGGTTAGGGGTCTTTGGCGCGCAGGTTTTAAGGCTTCTGGGTTTCAGTTTGGACATGAAGGTTTTGGGGTTTGGGGTTGAGAGTTGGGGGGTTTAGCTGAAGAATGAGGTGATGGAGAATGAAGTGCAAAAGTACATGGTAGTTTCCCTAAATAGGCGGACCCCAATATAGACCCCCAAATACTATAATCCTTATCATAGGGACCCTTTAACATGGTACCCCTAATTTTGGGAACCCCTCACATGGAGAATGAGATGGTATCCAAGATATGCAGACTTAATCTGGAATTTCTGCATAGATATGTTTATGTTTTGGCACCTATAGTCATTAGCCTGTAGTGTTCACCTTCCATAGGTGCGGGCGTAACCTAATAAACAACTTGAGAAGCATGTATATACATATATATGTATATATATATATACGTATATACATACATATATATGTATATGTGCAAGCCTGTAAATAGGGGCTGTAATGTTTCTTGTGCAGCAGACCTGTGAGCCTTTGATCATGACTAGTACTCGTATGGCTGCCGTGGTTTCTGTTGAAAGTGGTAATTCTCTTCCGACTGTCACTCCCTATAGCTTATGGCCAAGTAAAGATTTTGTAATTTTGTAGTCTGGCCGCCATGTACTCGTGCAGAACAAGCCAGAAAAGCGGGTTAAGAAGCTAGAAGCGCAGGACCTACACGGTCCACGAACTGCAGACCACAGATGTCTAGCTTACTTGAGGATCATACGAACCTGGCTCCTCCAACTTGGCAAGACAAACGTCAAATTCATGTTTCGTACTGATCAATTGCAAGCGCGCAGCACCTCTTTGGCAGGGTCGTCATATTCGGCTGGCTAGGGGTTCTCGAGAGAGGTGCTCGTGTAGGTAACTCATCTCAAGACTTACACGCCAACGTTGGATACTCTGCCTACCCATGAAATGTTAAGCTCTCCCCGAGAAGCCCCAGCGAGCTGAATTTCTAGTATATTATGGTATATTAGGATGTATTATGGTGTTGGGTTGCATAGGAAAAGCTTTCATTTTGAGCCTCATCAGGGGCTTGTGGGTGTTGCCATTACCCTCCAGCCAACCTGAGCCCTTCATCTCAGCTGAGCACCCAGACCCCTGGGAGGACCTATATAGACCCATTATAACACCTATATAATCCCTATATAATTTCCCATATGGTTCTAGGGGATCTAATTTTTAGATCCTTTTGGGGGTCTGAGCAGCAGGCCTACCTACCGGCCGCATGACTATGGCGACTGGGCCCACAAGAAGAAGTTGCCAGATAGCTTCGAGCACGGCCTGACGCTGAAGGCACGGTATTTTGGGATTTCGGGGTTTCCAAAAATTGAACTGAACAATTTTACTGGGGGCTAAAATTGGACCTCAGATTTTTTGCAACCCGCATTTGGCGACGTGGTCTTTAACGGCTTGAGACTTCCGGTGGTTCAGCACTACAATACGAATGGCCAGGTAATGTCCTACCGGCTCCAGGATAGGGGACCCTTCCCTGGTACAGTAATTATAGAGGGATTATATAGGGAATAATGGAAAGGAAAATGGAAGCTACTACAATGGGGTTATATACGGTTTAGTCTTTAGGCATAATGGAAAAGAAAATGGAAACTACTATGTGGTATGTTGGTTTTATATAGGGAACAATGGAAAAAAGTGGAAACTACTGTAGTATATTGGGGTTAAATAGGTTTAGATGGCAACCGCCCACGGCGTAGAAGATTAAAGGTCATCGAGACACGAAGCTTCAATTCGGCAGCTTCTGCCCAAGAGACTCTGGATGTTTGGGGTTCAGAGTTTAGGCATGGACCTCGAGGCTGTTCTGAATGCTTGTTCGTCCTCAGAAGCACGCTCCTGAGAACCAGCTGCACAATCGGAATCCCTTCGCGCCGAATGTACCCTCTTGAACTTGTATCGCTTTTTCGCATAGTTTCTGTGTAGCCTGCGACACATTCCAAGACAACCTGTACTCCCTGGAAGCTCTCATTGGCAGGTGTCGTGCTGGACCGAGCGCTACAGCGGCATACGTGGCAGCCCCTCGGCTTCAGGATGTTCTCCTAAACCTTTTTTAGCGGGCCTTGTGTAAAGCTTGGGTTCCGTAGTGATTGCAGGATTCTGCAGAGTTTGGGTGGATTTTCCAGGATGTTGCAGGGTCTTGAGGTGATCGCAGGTGGAGGAGAGCCAGGGTTCTGAATGAATTCAACGAGTGCCTGATATTCATTAGGAAGGCATGATATTCTAAGCTCTGAACATAAACTAGAGGTTCAGAAATTAGGGTTACAGCTGAGGGGCGGGAGTTTGGGGTAAAGGGTTCCAAGGGTCAGTCTTGGCATTTAGCCGGAGGGCTTCGGTTCATGTAGTGTTGCGGTGGAAACAATTCGGACAAGGTTTTGTGGGATGTTGTATTGTAGTTAGTTTGGTAAGAGGATTTTGAGTACTCCGAACCCCCGAAAACGGAGCTCTCATAGGGCCCTGATTATTGGCAGTTGGGGTTGCCAAAAGCTCTTCTTACAAATGAGGACTACAAGGGACAATCTTGAAGTTGGGATCCTCTCAAGAAAGGTCACTTACAACCTTCATGCAAGTCCTTGGCTGACTTCAAGGAAGGCAAAGGGGCAAAAAGTTGTACGGCTGGGTAAGGCCTAATGACGTACAGTGTAGAGGGTTAAGAGGGGCCTTTGGTCAGCTAGGAATGAAGGAATGGATCCTTATAGTAGTCCTTATATAACCCATTATGCTAGTTTCCATTTTCTTTTTCATTCCTTCATTCCCAGCTAGCCAAAGGCCAGAAAGAGGAATTTAAAGCTCCTGATTCTGGTCAGTCATGAGGAATACCAACTATGCCAGATCTTGATCTCCGAGACGCAGGT